TTTGTTTCCCTCCCCATTTCAACTTCTGCCCCTTTCCCTCTCTTCATCCATATCTGCTGTCTGTTCTGTTTTCTATTCCGAGTGATGTTCTGATATCCTCCCATGGACTCTTCTTGTTACTTAGCTTCTTTGGGTGTATGGATTGTAGTATTGTTATCCTGTACTATAGGTCTAATATCAGTTTATAAACTATGTGTTTCTATGTCTGGGTTACCTCTTTCAGGATGATATTTTCTAGTTCGATACATTTGCCTGCAATTTCCATGATTTCTTCTTTTTAATACCTGGGTAGTATTCTATTGTGTAAATGTACTAGAAGTTTTTTATCCATCCCTCAGTTTCTAGCTGTTATGAATAAAACAGGTACAAACATAGTAGAACAAATGTCCTTGTACTTTAATGGACCATCTTTTGGATATATTCCCTGGAGTGGTATAGCTGGGTATTGAGGTAGAACTCTTCCCAGTTTTCTGAGAATGCACCAGATTGATTTCAGAGAAGCTGTACAAGTTTGTACTCCCATCAGCAGTGGAGGAAAGTTCCCTTTTCTTCACATCCACACCAGAATGTGCTGTCACTTGAGTTTTTTATCTTAGTCATTTGAGTGGTGTAAGATGGAATATTAGAGTCGTTTTGATTTCCATTTTTGTAATTGCCAAGGATTTTGATCATTTCTTTAAGTGCTTCTATGCCTTTTGAGATTCCTCTTTTGTGGCTTCTCAGATTAGCTCTGAACCCCATTTTTAAATTGGATTATTTTATTTATTGGTGTTTAATTTTTTAAGTTCTTTTTATATTTTGTACATTACCTTTCTGTCTGATGCAGCGTTGGTATAGATATTTTCCCAAACTGTTGACTGCTGTTTGTTCGAGTGATAGTGGCTTTTGACTTATAAAAGCTTTTCATGTTCTTGAGATCCCATTTATTAATTATTGATTTTAGAGCCTGTGCTGCTGTTGTTCTATTATCTCCTGTGTTAATGAGTTCCAGACTTTTTTCTACCTTGTCTTCTAAATGATTTAGAGTCTCTGGTTTTATGTAAAGGTCTTTGATCCCCTTGGACTTGAGTTTCTGCAGGGTGAGTCAAAGGGTCCATTTTCATTTTTCTACATGCAGACATCTAGTTAGACTTCTACCATTTGTTGAAGATGCTGTCTTTTTCTTTCTTTCTGTATGATTTTGTCTTCAAAGTACAGTAAGAGTGTGGATTTATTGCTGTGTCCTTATTCCAATTGTACAGGATTGGTTTGCTATCACGGGTATTTTATTTTTCTATATGATGTTAATGTTTGCTCTTTCAAGGTCAGTAAAGAATTATTTTGGAATGTTGTTGGGAAATGGATTGACCCTATAGACTGCTTTTTTTAAGAATGCTCTTTTGCTAAGTTAATCCTATATATCCATGAGTTTGGGAGATCTTTCCATCTTCTGATATCTTCAGTTTCTTTCTTTAAAGACTTGGAAATTCTGGTCATAGGGGTCTTTCACTTGCTTGGCTAGAGGTACAGCAAAATATTTTTTTGTTGTTTGTAGTTTTTGTTTCCCAAATTTCATTCTCAGCCCATTTTTCATTTGTATACAGCAGGATTAATGACATTTTTAGTTAATTGTGTTCCCAGACATGTTGTGGAAAGTGTATATCAACTGTAGGAAATATCTGGTAGAATTTCTTGGGTCACTTATGTATACTAGTAAATCATCTGCGAATAGTGATCCTTTGAATTCTTTCTTTCCAATTTGTATCTCCTTGATAACCTTCAGTTGTCTTATTGCTTTAACTAGGACTTAAGGAGTATATTGATGAGATATGGAGAGGGGAGGCATCCTTGTCTTGTACCTCATATGAGTGGAATTTCTTTAAGTTTCTCTTCAAATGATTTGATGTTGGCTATCAAAAAAGCTTGCTTTTCAATATCTTTGTTATGTTAAGTATGTGCCTGCTTCCTTGTATGCCTGATTTCTCCAAGTCTTTTAACATGAAGGGGTGTTGGATTTTGTCAAAGGCTTTTTCTCATCTAATAAGATGATCATGTGATCTTGGTCTTTCAGTTTGCTTATATGGAGGTTGACATTGATAGATCTTCATATATTGGAACATCCCTGTATCCCTAACATTAAGCCTATTTGTTTATTGTGAATATCTTTGATGTGTTCTTGGATTTGGTTTGCAAGTATTTTACTGAGTATATTTGTGTCACAGACAGCTATTAGCTGTCATATGGGTGTTTGAAATTTAACCCAGGTCCTCTGGAAGAAGAGACAGTGTTCTTAACCATGAGCCATACTTCCATCCCCCATGATTTATGATCAACATTTACATTGCTAATATTTTCATCTGTTCTTTTGTAACTGTTCAAACATACATTTCATTTTAGCGAGATCATATTAATTTGTAAAGTTTAAAATGAGACAGTTCAGGTTTCTAGACATGTATACAGAACTGGAGAGAGTGTATAACTCTGTTGAAACTTTTGAAATATCTTTAAGTTCTTTCTATCTTTTTTGTTTGATTCATTTTTGCAGAATAATTAGGGTCTTGTTATATACCCCTGAGTGTCCTGGAACTTATTGCATAGAGTATACTAACATCCAGCTCTATGACATCCACCTGCCTCTGTCTCCTGGGTGATTTTGGAATTAAAGTCATCAGAAAATACACCCAGCCTGCCCATTGTTATTAGAGTCAGGAATCATTTATACCATTTCTCTGACGTGGACTCAGTACAGTTGATCTGTTTACTATCTCTCTATATATTTGTTTGTTAATTTCTCTTACAAGCCTATATCATAATTAAAGGATGCAAAAATTAAATAGGTGAACCTCACTATTCAGTTTTCTCCTAAAAGGAGTTAGTTATTACATTAGAACTTGTGTGTCACAAAATAAGCGGAAGAACCACCACAATTCTTTGAAAAAATTGTAAGTGAAATATATATTTCCAGTATTTTAATTATCATGCTTTCTGTTGTACATGTGTGGATATTTTAGAGTACATTGACCTATAATGATGTGCATGTGAACTTCACTCGAGAAGAGTGGGCTTTGCTGGATCCTTCCCAGAAGAGTCTCTACAAAGATGTGATGCTGGAGACCTACAGGAACCTCACTGCTATAGGTAGAACAGTGAATTTTCTTTACTCTTTAAAATATTGGGAAAACCCTTTATTCATTATTGAAGCACTTCTGTAATTTCTTTTGAGGATGAGGAAGAATGAGGTGAATGATTCTTTGATTGAGCATAGATCGTTACCTAAATATTGCCTTATTTCCAATTACAAAGCATACATTTTTTACTGTATTTTAGGCTACAATTGGGAAGATCATAATATCGAAGAGCATTATCAAAGTTCTAGAAAATATACAAGGTAATTTTTATGTGTAAGCTCATATGAATTTGGTTCTTAGAAAATTTTAAAATGTACTGGAAGTTTGAAAGAGAAGGGACAGTGTAAATTAACTGTCTTAAGTATACTTATTGATAATTAATCACTTGTTACTAAGCCATGTACCTCCATTTTAGGTATTTGATGTGTGTTTGTAAGACACTCATCTAAGAAAGAATGCAAGAAATCCGTACGTTACCCAAGATCAACATTTAAATCATAACCTCATTAGTGCTATGAGGTAGAACTGCAATTCATTTATTCTCCTACAAATGAGACATTGCCAAATAGTTGATAATAAATAGTTGATGAAAGTATGTCCAAAACATACTAATCAAGTAGTCCATAGTAAAGTTAGGTTACACATATACCTGTAATAATGTTGCTAAGCTTTGTGAGAAGGGCAGTTTTTTAGAGTCAAGAATGTTGTTGTGGAAAAACCATAATCCATATAGCATGTCTGTGATGAACAAAAATCAAATGTGTGAATGCAACATGAAACCATGTCATTTATTATTCTTTTCATAGGTATATCATATATCACAATGAATACAAATTGTTACTGTAGGTATATTGAAAGAAACAGTGTACCACCCAGAATAACTAAAATAAATAGTCGTCCCCATTTTGAATAGATGTTTAAAAGGTGATAAGTATTATGCTTTATATGGGCTATTCAGAGATGCAAGCAATACAAATAATGACACAGAAGCTTTGCAATATTTTAAAGCTTAGGCAATTTAACTGGTCAGATTCTGAACCCTCTTTTACCCTAACACAAATAAATCTAGCACAGTGTCCTGATGCATGGCCATGTCTTGTTCATGTTCATGTCCATATGTTAACCTCACTGTCCTGCTGGTGAATTGCCTGATTTTTTTCTTTCTTCCCAGCAACCCCTTTCACTAAGAAGTTCTGGCCTCCATTTTATGCCCTGCTATCTGTTGTCAACTCTTCATTATTTCCAATAGAAAACTACGGAAAGACAAATATTTACAAAGTATAGGACAGGTGATGGGCCATAAAAAGAAAAATATTATGATTTGTCTAGCACTTAGCTATCTGCTGGCTTAGCAATCAGCGTTCATATATATTGACACACTTTCACACAATATACACCAACATCAGTTAACTGGTTATTCAACTTTATTAGGAATTCTCACAAAATCACTGGTCAGAAAATATAAGTTTTAGGAATATATAAATTTGTTTTTCCCAGTTACATTTGCATATTTAGCATGGCGCACAATATAGGGAAATTTATTAATCCAGTCAGTGTGATAAAGCTCTGAGGTTTTGCAGTTTTCTACAAATATGTGGTAAAGCATCTTATTAAAAAGTATTTTAAAAAGTATAGCATAAATATGAGACAGGTAACCAATATTTTTAACATCACAGGTATTTTCAAATAGGCAAAACAACCCATAGAGAACACTGTGAATATAAAAATAATGATGAAAACTCAAGATGGAATTCCTGTTTACATTTGCACAAAACTGTAAAATTAAGTGACATGGACAAAAACATACATTAGTGTAATGAATTTGGTAAAGCTTTCATATGTGCCAATTATCTCTGCAGGTCTAAAAACAGAGTGGAGAGAAACCCGCTGAAGATACTCAATATGATGAAGTCTTTGCACGTCACAGTAATCCCCATACATGTAAAAGTATGCATACTAGTGGGGATCGCTTTGAATATAACCAGAATAGTAATGCCTTTGCATATGATAGTCATTTCCTAAGATATAAAAGGATACATATAGAAGAGAAACCTCATAAATGTAACGAATCCGGCAAAGCCTTTGCATTTAACAGTGATCTAAAATATAAAAGAACTGACACTGGAGAGAAACCTTATGAATGTAACCAATGTGGTAAAGCCTTTGCACAGAATAGTCTTCTGGTAGTACATAAAAGAACTCACACTGGAAAGAAACATAAATGTAACCAATGCGGTAAATCTTTTGTACGTAACAGTCATCTACTGATACATAAAAGAACTCACACTGGAGAGAAACCTCATGAATGTAACCAATGTGGTAAAGCCTTTGCATGTAACAGTGATCTCCTAAAACATAAAAGAACTCATACTGGAGAGAAACCTTATGAATGTAACCAATGTGATAGAGCCTTTGCATGGAGCAGTCATCTGGTAGTACATAAAAGAACTCACACTGGAGAGAAACTTTATGAATGTAATCAATGTGGTAAAGCCTTTTTACGTAACAGTCATCTCCTGCTACATAAAGGAATTCACACTGGAGAGAAACCATACAAATGTAACCAATGTTGTAAATCCTTTGCACGTAACAGTAGTCTCCTAATACATAAAAGAACTCACACTGGAGAGAAACCTCATGAATGTAGCCAATGTGGTAAAGCCTTTGCACAGATCAGTACTCTCCTAATACATAAAAGAACTCACACTGGAGAGAAACCTTATGAATGTAACCAATGTAGTAAAGCCTTTGTACGTAACAGTAATCTCCTGCTACATAAAAGAACACACACTGGAGAGAAACCTTATAAATGTAACTTATGTGATAAAGCCTTTGCACAGAACAGTCATCTCCTACTACATAAAAGAACTCACATTCGAGAGAAACCTTATGAATGTAACCAATGTGGTAAAGCCTTTGCAGACAACAGTGTTCTCTTAAAACATAAAAGAACTCATACTGGAGAGAAACCTTATGAATGTAACCTATGTGGTAAAGCCTTTGCACAGAACACTTATCTAATAAAAGAACTCACACTGGAGAGAAACCATATGAATGTAACCAATGTGGTAAAGCCTTTTCATGTAACAGTAATCTCGTAATACATAAAAGAACTCACACTGGAGAGAAACCTTATGAATGTAACCAATGTGGTAAAGTCTTTGCAGATAACAGTGTTCTCATAAGACATAAAAGAACTCATACTGGAGAGAAACCTTATGAATGTAACCGGTGTGGTAAATAAAGCCTTTGCACGCAACAGTAGTCTCCTAATACATAAAAGAACTCACACTGGAGAGAAAACTTATGAACGCAACCAACGTGGTAAATCCTTTGCATGGAACTGTCATCTGGTAGTACATAAAATAACTCCCACTGGAGAGAAACCTTTTGAATGTTCCCAATGTGATAAAGTCTATGCATTTCAGTATACTCTCTGAAAATCTAAAAGAACATACCTTAGAGGAAAATCTTATGAATGTAATCTGCGTGGCACCACCTTTGTACAAGACAGTCATCTCCTAAGACATAAAAATGCATGTTGCAGAAAATTCTTATGAATATAATCAATGTCAGAAAGCCTTTTCGTGTAAGAGTCATCTTGAACAAGAACACCTACTGGAGTGAAACCCTATGAATTCCACCAACGCGCCAAAGCATTTGCATTCCATAATAATCTCCATGTACATAGAAGAATACACACTAGAGAAAAACTATGAATGTGACCAATGTGATAAAGCCTTTTGTTGTAATATTAATCTCATATGATATAAAGAACACATACTGGAGAGAAACCTTATGAATATAACCAGTCTGGTAAAACTTGCTCTTCACAATCATCTTGAATGTCATGAAAGAATTCATATTGGACAGAAAGACTGTCAGTGTATTTAACATGGTGAAGCTCTTCCACATTTGTATAGTCATCATCATGAAAGAATTCATACTGGAGAGACATTATGAATGTTTTAAAATGTGAGGCCTTTGTACATATCTACATTTTTCATCATCCTAAAAGTTTCATAATGGAGAGAAATTCTGAGAAAAAGCACATTTTTAAGAGGTGCAGCTGAGGCGCACTATGATAATGTGGCCTTGACATGCAGAATATTTCCTCAAGTGTTTCACACCTTTCTTCAGTAAAAGGTTTTCACATGTTCTCTTTACAAAATAATTAGAACCCTGTGTTTTTCCACAACTCTGCCCTGTGGATCTTTTGTAGTTTCTCCTTCCTTCTTTGATTTATTTTGTTTTTAACCCATTAAGAATTTCTTTTAATGGAGATTTAAAAAATGAAATAAAATGAATTTTCAAATCTTTCTTCAATCTGCTATTTTATCTATAAACTATACTGTGTGCCTTCCTTGTGAAAAGAACCCAGTAATGTGCCATGAGGCCTGGTTCAGATTTTATTATTATTATTATTATTATTATTATTATTATTATTATTATTATTATTATTTAAGGTATTTTTGAGACATGGTTTCTCTGTGTAGCTCTGGCTGTTCAGGCTTCTCTTCCTAGAACTCATAGACATCCACCTGCCTCTGCCTCCCAAGTGCTGGGATTAAAGGTATGTGCCACCATACTTGGCAGGACTTTCTTATAGCCTGGTTTAAGTCATACTTAGTGACTTAAGACATGTTCAGACAAGTGAGTGTGAGGAGCTGGCCAGGGGAGCCTAGGAGAAATGTCATCAGAGACCAGAGAGACTTCATCCAGAAAATGATGGGAATAGATGTAGATTCCCACAACCAAACACAAGGAACAAGTGTGGAGTCCTTGAGGAAGGGAAGAATCAGAGGAACCAGGGGTGTCAGAGACATCATGAGAACACTTCCCACACAATCAGCTGTCTATTACTCATCTGTGTTAGCACAGATGAGGAGGCCTGGAGGACTCTCCTGGAAGACTTTTTTTGCATGTGTAGGGAGGGACTAGAGGAAGGTCAGTGGGAGGTGTCAAGAAGTCAGGTGACAGAGAAGGGAAGAAGCCAGAGAGGAAGAACCAGAGGGGGTCACATGATGTGGTTGGAGCCAGGAAGGGGCTGGAAGTGTCACATGAGAGAGTGAGTGGCCAGGGAGATTAGGGGTGGAGCTGAAGACACACCTGACATATGAGGGGTTGGGGGAGGGCCAAGGATGGGGCCAGCATTTCACATGTCAGAACCTCCTAAATAATGATATAACATACTGTATAATATTCTATATTATTTTCTCCCTTTTGTCTTAGGTCTCAGGTGTTGGGTCCTTATGTCTCCTTGTTGGGTCACAGGCAGCTACAGTATGTCTAAGCTACTGTAACAAGACATGATGATGGCATTGACTATTACATAAGGATAACAGAGGGGTCAGGGATTGGGGCTTGGGGCTTAAGTCTGAGGCCTCAGGGCTCAGGCACCAAGGACTAGTGATCAGGACTTAAAATTGTGTTTATAGGGCCTGATCTGGGCCCCTCAGTCACTTTCATTTCTAAATGATCCATATTCATAAGACCTGGGTCTGCTCCTCTTGAATCTACATATCTCAGGAAAATTTCTTCTTGGATTATTAACAGAAAAAATAAATTACCTTTAGGGACCATTTGTCAACAGTCCTTGAGTCGATCTTATCCTATCAGAGCAATGTACATTTTGAGCATACAAATCTTTTGAAATTGTCCAACCACAACCAAATTGTTAGCTTTACACTTAATATCTATAGTAGTTTTAATGCATTCAGAAAGAGGTGAAGATGAAGAGCTTAAAGGTCTAATAGCCCTTTTGCATTCAGTATTCACACACCCACCAGCTAACGGTTCAAGTAAATTTCTCTAGCTTCTCGATCTGATATTACTCTATCTAAATCCCAAGTAAATTTTTGTAAAAAGTCAGTGAAAGATTTGTGTTAACTCTGGTTTATCTTTATGAATGACTCAAAGTATTTTTCTTGTTCTTCAGTCTTGCCCCAAGCATTTAAACTTATTTTACTACATTGTTCTAAGATGGCATCATCCAACATAATCGGTATTACTTTTTTCCCTGCTGGTTTATTATTTTTATTCTTTTCATTTATTGCAGTTTATTTAATTTGTATTCTGGCTGTGGCCCCCTCCCTCGTCTCCATTCTGCTTGACTCTATGTCCCTCCCCTAGTCCACAGATAGCATAGGACCTCCTCCCCTTCCATCTGATCATAGCCTATCAGGTCTCATCAGGACTGGTTGCATAGGCTTCCTCTGTGACCTCACAAGGCTGTATTCCTCTTTTCAATTTGTATTTTCTTTACATTCATGTGCTATGAGTCCTAATAGTGCCCCTCCCTCAACTCTTCCCAATTTTCCCTTCTTCTTCCCCCTTCTCCTCCCCCTTTCTATCCAGAAAAGGGGAGCTTTCCTCCCTCCCATATCAAGCCTCTGGTTTATTAAAGTGTTCATTGTATATTTTCCATTTAAAGTACATTTTTATACTTATGCATGGACTTACATATATTATAGCTATCTTATGTAGATAATTTATAGGATGATTGATTATGACTTTCACATATGTTTATTGTTATTTCACACTCTTCCTTCTTTTACACTTATCCACATTTTTATTTAGAGTACTTCCCCCACATTATCCAAATCAGATCAATTGTACACTGCTACTGCATTGCTTCCCCACCATGTTTCCTGGTTTCTATAGTTATTCCTTGGTAAATACATCTGAAGATTTTGGGTTAGCTGCCTCAGAGTATAGAGAATGAGTGATATTTTTCTTTCTGGATCTGTGTTACCTAAATCAATATAATTTTTCTAGTTCCATCTCTTTATATGTATGACATATGTGTTTCTGTATGTATTTCTATGTATGTTTGTGTGTATATGTATTTATATTTATGTATGACTTATGTGTTTAGATGTTTCAATTTCCTACCTATGTGAAGAGAATAGCAAGGACCATGGCTGATCAGTTATCTGTGTAGTGGTATATCAAGTACTTTGTGCATATGTTAAGGTATAAAACAGCTGGGTCATATGGTACATTTATTATTACATGTTTGAGGATTCTACACAATGATTTCTGCAATGGCTGAATTTGTTTAAAAGCTGCTCTACACAACCCGCTTTCCAGAGATCCACTATGTGCCTGTTTTATAAAAGCATTCCAATACCACCCAAAGCCCTGTTAACTACAAAAACGACAAAGAGAACAAGTATTTAATTCATATATTTTATTTTAATACCTATCATGATTAAATTTTGAATATTTATATTATCCAAAAATTAATAAGTAACATGCATAACTTAATAAAATGTGTTTTCATCAATAGCTTCTATTTTGAAATAGAATGCCTGTGATTGTGAGACAAAGTGAGGCACTCTTAGTTTTTTTTTAAATATACACTTTAGACAAAATTACTGAAAAGTAGTTAAATAATTTAATTTTATTCTACTAATGGTTTATAAGAAAGACTAAGAAAGTTCATCAAAATGATATTTTATGAGATGTCTTGTTTGTAAAACATCTCAAAGAGTTCTTATCGGGTCGTAGGAGAATAATGTAGCACTTTGGGAAGAAGATACATGCCAGCAACCCTGCACTGGAGGCCAGGATGGAGAAGACCTCCACAGCCACCATGGCTTTGCCCTTGGTGCTCTGGTAGACAGGGATGAAGGTGAACCAGACACTGAAGAACACCAGCATGCTGAATGTCAGTAACTTGGCCTCATTGAATGTGTCAGGCAGGCTCTTCTGACCAGGAAAGCCACAGTGAAGCTCTCTAGGGCCAGGGACCCTAGGTTAGCAAGCATACAGTAGAAAGCAGTAACTGAGCCCTTGTTGCATAAAATTATGATATGAGTATGTTCAGACTGTGTATCTGTGTCAATATAGGGGGGCAAGGTTCCCAGCCAGACTGCAGAGAGAATAAGTTGGATTAGAACACAGATGGGGATGACAGCATTGTAGACACGTGAGGCAAACAACCTTCTCATTGTTCTCCCTGGTTTCATGAACTTAAAGGCCAGAATTACAGTTATAGTTTTTGCCAAAACAGTGGAAATAGCCAAGGTGAACACAAGTGCAAATGTTATTTGTTGCAGTATGCAGGAGGTTGTGTTTGTGCATCCAATGAAGAAAAAGGAGCAGAGGAAGCAGAGGAGGATGGAGATGAGCAGGATGTAGCTGAGAGTCTGGTTATTGGCCTTAACAATGGCAGATTCTTGGTTTTCGAGAAAGATTCCTAAAAGTGCAGTTGTGCTGATAGAAAAGCACAGAGCTGTGCAGGCCAGAGCCATGCCCAGAGGATCCTCAAAGGAAAGGAAGGTCACTGCCTTTGGCAGGCAGTGGCTTCACTCAGGGTTTGGATACTCTTGACTTGGGCAAGCGATGCACTCCTGCTGATCTGTGTGGATAAATTGGATCAACATTTCACCTTATATAAGTATTTACTCATTGCATATTTAATACATTACAGTGCTTTCCAATGATGTGTGTATCCTGACATATTCTTCTTCCTGATACTGCCAAGGACATGAACTCTTTATAAATCCCATTTCTAGTGTTTATCTTGTTTAATTAACAATAAGCTTTCTGCTCAACAGTTTATCACAGTATCCTAGGGCAGTGAAATTTGTATTAATCATATTCAGATAAAGTTATACTTTCAAGTAATCCTTCAAATACTTTTGTTTATACTTTGAGTTTCTAAGTATTTATACACTATATTTTGAACAAAAATACACTTCCTTGTTTCCACCCTCATGGGTTCTTCTCATTTTTCTTGTTACACACAGTTTCAGTGGATTTTTAACCCTTTCTATACCTTTTTTTCTAAGATAACATGTGAATAAGTTATATCTCACCTCCACGGCCTATGAAACAATTCTGATTTGGTAGTAAATATACAACACTTGCATCACCAAATTTGAGCTATAAGCTTGGATCAGACAGTATCTGACTCAGGACAGGACTGTGTGTTTCATTAATTCCAGAATAATCCTGGCAATTGTTCAAATTTTCACTCTAGTTATATTCTGAAGACTAAAAGATGCCTTACTTGTCACATAATAAGTCTATCAATCTTTAAAATAGTAAATCAGAAAAGGGGAAATGGCACTGCCATATTCACTAGAATTGGTGAGAGTCATGAATCCAGCACAGCTGCTTGATGCAACTCCTGCAAAGGTGAGTAGATTGTTACAATCACTGTTCTTTGATCTCTAACTTTTGTTTTTTGTTTTTTTTTCCCTGTGTGTTGCATTACTGGGGATGTTCTACACTATGATTCAATTTCTGTTTTTTTTTCTACAAAAATGTTCTGTCTGAGTCTTTTTATGAAAATCCTAAACTTTATCTGTCCATCCTTTGAAAATCTTCATGTCCTGGAGTTCATTAAGCACAGATAAGCAGGTAGTGAGATGAGACCATTCTTTCAGGAGCTTTTTTAGGGTATCTGACCTTAAATAGTATAGTGGTGCAGGGTAAACAAAGACAATATGCAAACCTTGAGTGGCCAGGAGATTCCAGTAAATATTTAAGTCCCTTTTATTATTGGGTGAGAGCTCCCTAAAAATGTAGTTTAAAGATATGAGGTCATAGAGTATACACTCCTTATGGAATAAAATTCAGTAAATAAGATAGATTGACTAAAATGAACTTTTTCTACTGTATAGCATACATGATGATACATAGATTAAAGGGAGTTAGTAATTAGTATTTGCTATTCATAATAAGACCAGTTCAGGTATTTTCTGTTTCTCTTGACTGTACTCATACTAAAGACACTACCAGCCAAAGAGCACATTAAATGTGTTTTCTTTCAAGGAGACAGTCTTTAGATCATGTAAATTAGAGATATAGGGCTAATAATAATAATAATGAAATCTGTTCCATTTGTATTTTTGTAATTGTAACTGACCTTGTAAACCTGGATATGTAATGAAAAAAATCAGACACCTACTCTGTACCACTTGTAGAATCATTAGTCTGTTTGTACTATGAATCTTTATAAATAAATAAGTGCCTTGTAGCCAGTAAGTCAGAGCCACAGAAAGGTCTAAATTTTGGAAGTCAGCTGTGAGATTCTCCTGACCCCTCCACCTGACCCACTCTATTCCCTTACTGACCCTTCATCTGCTCTGTGGAGCATACTGAATACAAAGACCCTCCAACTCTCCTTTCCATATTTAGGATAGCCCCACAAAAATGTTCCTGGTACAGGCTCACAGAGAATGAATTTCCAACAAGAGAATATGCATGAGACAGACCTGGGCTCCATGCACATATGTAACATTTGTGCAGCTTGATCTCTGAGAGTTCTTACAACCCATCTGTAACAGTTGTGCAACTTGGTCTTCATGGCAGGCTTCTAGCAAGACATTTAACAGTTGTGCCGATTAGTCATCATGGGGGACTTGTAACAGCACATGTGTAACACTTTGTGATGCTTGGTCTTCATGGGGGACAGTTAACAGCAAGACCACAGATGTCTCTGACTCTCTTGCCTGTCATTGGATCCCTTTCTCCTAATTGTACTGCCATGTGTAGCCTCAATAGAAGTTATACCTAATCTTATTGCAACTTCATATGCCAAGGCTGGTGGATAGCCAAAGGAGGCTTCATTTTTTCTTGAAAGAAAGGAAGGTGGGGCATATGGGGTGTTGGGTGGGGTGAGAGAGAGGGACTGTCAGGAGAGATGGAAACATATGCTGTAATAGTACATAAACAAATTAATAATATATTAAAAAAACAATAAGATTGTAGTAGAAATAATTGAAATGGAAACAAAGAAAACAACACATAGAATTAACCAAAGGAAGAGCTGGCTCTTTCTGAATATAAACAAAATTGACAGACCGCTGTCTCAAATAAATCAAAGAAAGACATAGAGGACTCAAATTAACAGAATCAGAAATGACAGAAAAACAATTACTATAGAAACCAAAGAAATTTGGAATATTCTAAGGAAATATTAAAAATATATATATATTTCTGTAAGCTTAGAAATGTACATGAGAGGGATAAGTTTTAGATTTGCTCAAGCAACTGTGATTCAAACATGAATTCAACAATAAACAACCTAAATAGACACAGTAAGAAATTCACAAAAACCTCTCACTGAAAAAGAAAAAATGGAAGGATGAAAGATCAAAATAATAATAATAACAAAATGAGAATCTGTGATGGTGGAGAACTGTGTGCACCATATCCGAGAGGCAGAGGATCAGAGATGCTTAAGATTGGTTAGTGGACTCATGGCTAGATCCAGAGCATTAACTTTGGTGCTTCCTGGACTGCATGGGACATCCAGGAATTGGAGGCAATAGGATTCAGGCCTTCTGTAATTCAGACTCCAATGAGTTTGGATCTCAAGGATCATGGACTCTTCTACTAGAACAGCCAGATTTTGCATCCCTACCTCTTTCCTAAGGGCAGTGTCAGGATTCCTGGGAGAGCATTCCAGGCACCAAGCCACAGTTTTGGTGGTCACCCTGTGAACACCATATTATCCCAAATCCAAGATGGCAGGGCCCAGAGGAATTTGAGAACAAGGAGAACTTTTGGGCAGGCTTGTATGCCTCAGTCCAGGTTTCTTCTGAGGCACCGCACAGTTGCCACCTGGGCCTAGAACCCTTTGGGGTAGCTGCTTCTGTGCACTGCTCCTAAGAGCTCCCATACATGCACATTCTGTGTCCTTCAATTCACCTGCCCCCACCGGTTTGTGTGCCCACACCCTATCCTGTGCCCTTCAGGATACTGTCATATGAATCACCACACCCATTCTTGAGCTACTGAAAATTTCTCATCATCCTGATCACTACTCCAGACTCCTAAGACAGGCCAGTCCATTCTATTGTGCAGTTTCCAGGGACAAAAAGGCTACAGACAACCAGATGGCCAAAGGTCAACCTAAAAACACAGTCATCAAAAATTAGGACATCACGGCTCCACCAGAAACCCCATCAAACAATGGATATTCTAATGCAGTTGAAACATAGGAAAAGAACCTTAAATATATGTTTATGTAGTTATTAGATGCATATAAAGAGGAAATGAAGAAATCTCTCAAAGAAATACAGGCAAATACAACCAAAAAGAGAGAGGCCATCATAGCAGGAAAACACACTCAAACAGGTGAAGGAAGTGAAAAAAAAAAGTTATTCAAGTCCTGAGAATAAAATTAGAATCAATAAAGAAAACACAAATCGAGAAAATCCTGGAAATGGAATACTTAAAGAAGAGATCAGGCACCACTGAAGTAAACATCAGTAACACAATACAAGAGATGGAGGAGAGAATCTCAGGCATTGAAGATACAATTGAAGACACTGATCAATCTTCCAAAGAAAACAGCAAAATGGAAAATCTGATGCAAAACATCTATGAAATCAAGGACACCATAAAAACATGAAATCTAAGATAATTAGAATAGGCTAAAAAGATGATTCCAGGCTTTAAGGTCCAAAATATATTTTCAATAAAATCATAGAAGAAAATTGAAACAATGAAGTTTACAGAGGTCATCAATCAAATGAACCTAAAATGATGTCTACAGAACTTTTCACCCAGACACAAACAAATATACTTTCTTCTCTGCACATCATGGAACCTTCTTCAAAACTGACCATATAGTCAGGCACAAAGCAAGTCTCTACAGATACAAGAAGATTGTTGTATCCTATTAGAACATCATGTTCTAAAGCTGGAATATTAAGAATGACAGAAATACGTTTATCCTATATTATATGTCTATATGAGTATATACTGTGTGTGTCTTTCTGCTTCTAGGATAGCTCACTCAGGATGATCTTTTCCAGTTCCCACCATTACCTGCAAATTTCATGATATCCTTGTTTTTTCTTTATTGCTGAGTAATATTCCATTGTGTAGATATACAACAATTTCTGTATTCATTCGTCAGTTGAGGGGCATCTGGGTTGTTTCCAGCTTCTGGATAAAGCTGGAATAAATAAAGCTGCTACACACATGGTGGAGCTAATGCCCTTATTGTGTACTTGAGCTTCTTTTGGATATATGCCTAGGAGTGGTGTACCTGGATCTTGAGGAAGCGCTATTCCTAGTTGTCTGAGGAAGTGGAGATTTATTTCCAGAGTGGTTGTACAAGTTTACATTCCCTCCAGCAGTGGAGGAGGGTTCCTCTTTCTCTATAACCTCTCCAGCATGTGTTGTCACTTGAGATTTTGATCTTGGCCATTCTGATGAGTGTAAGGTGAAATCTCAGGGTCATCTTGATTTTCATTTCCCTCATGACTAATGACTTTGAAATCTGTACATCTAAAGAAACGAATCAAGAGGGAGGACTCTTCCTAAAATGCTCAATCCCTATCTGAAAGGCAAAGAGGATGGACATCAGAAGAAGAAGAAAACAGGGAACAGGTCAGGGGCCTGCCACAGAGGGCCTCTGAAAGGCTCTGCCCTGCAGAATATCAAAGCAGATGCTGAGAATTATGGCCAACTTTTGGGCAGAGTGCAGGGAATCTTATGAAAGAAATGAGAAATAGTAAGATCTGGAGAGGACAAGAATTCCACCAGGAGAGCAAGAGAACCAAAAATTCTGAGCACAGGTGTCTTTCCTGAGACTGATACTCCAACCAAGTACTATGCATGGAGATAACCTAAGACCCCTGCACAGATGTAGCCCATGGCAGTTCAGTGTCCAAGTGGGTTTCATAGTAATGGGATTGGCCTGCTCTTTAATTACCTCCCCCTGAGGTGAGAGCAGCTTTACCAGGTCACAGAGGAAGACAATACAGCCACTACTGATGAGACCTAATAGAGTAGGATCAGAAGGAAGGAAAAGAAGACCTCCCCTATCAGTGGACTTGGGGAGGGGCATGCATGCAGAAAGGGGAGGAAGGTAGAGGTTGGTAGGGGTGGAGGGAAAGAACTACAAGGGGGATACAAAGTGAATAAAGTTTAATTAATAAAAAATTTTTTTAAAAGAATGACAGAAAAAGCAAAATGCTTACACACATGGAACCGAACAACACTACTCAATTAGAGGTGTGTCAGGAAATAAATAAATAAAGAACTTAAATATATACAAGAATTTAATGAAAATGAAGGCACAACATGCCCCAAATTATGGGACACAATGAAAGCAGTGCTAAGAGGAATGTTCATAACACTCAGTGCCTTCATTTTTGAGACATCTCATACAAGCAATTTAACAACACACCTAAAAGACTTAGAAAAAACCAAAATGATGTAGACAGACCCAAGAGGAGTAAATGGCTGAAAATAATAAAACTAAGGGATGAAATCAAAGTACTAAAAACAATCATTCAAAGAATCAACAAAACCAAGAGCTGGTTCTTTGAGACGATCAATGAGATAGACAAACCCTTAGCCAAGTAACTAAAAGGCAGAAAGAAAGTTTCCAAATGAACAAAATAAAAAATGAAAAGGGTGACATAAGGACAGAAATGGAGGAAATCAAAAGAATCACTAGGTCTCATTTCAGAAGCCTATATATCACAGAATTTTAAAGTCTATATGAAATGGACAAATTTTTGATAGATTCCACTTATCAAAGTTAAATCAAGATGAGGTAAATAAATTAAATAGTCGTATCTCCCATAAGGACACAGAAGTGGTCATCAAAAGCTCCTATCCAAAAAAGGACAGTGCATATTGTTTCAGCACAGAATTCTACCAGACCTTCAAAAAAGAGCTAATACCAATACTCTTCAAACTATTTCACATAATAGAAACAGAAAGAACATTACCAACCTCATTCTCTGAGGAAACAGTCACCTTAATACCCAAACTGCACAAAGACCCTACATAGAAATGAACTTCAAACAAATTTCCCTTATGAACTTTGAAGCAAATACACTCAGTAAAATAGTCTCAAATGGAATACAAGAACACATCAATGATCCACCATGACCAAGTAGGCTTTATCCCAGGCATGCAGGGGTGGTTCAATATACGGAAATCCATCAATGTAATCCACCATATAAACAAAGAAAAAAAAACCCAGCTGATCATCTTAGATGTTGAAAAAGCATTTGCCAAAATCCAACACCTGTTCATATTTAAAGATTTGGAGAGACCATGGATATAAGGCACACACCTAAACATAAATTAAGACAATATACACCAAGCCTACAGCCAACATCAAATGAAATGGAGAGAAACTTAATCAATCCCACTGCAATCACAGACAAGGCAAGGCTGCCTGTTCTCTCCTTATCTCTTCAACAGAGGACTTGAAAACATAGAGCCCACTGCAAAGAATTTAACAAATGGTGGCATTAGATCTCTGCAAATAAAGTATATTTAATTAGTATATCAACATTTTATTGTTTTCAATAAAACATAAAAAGTTTGTTATACAGTTTTCTAATTGACCTTTTTGAATATAGTAAATAAATAGTAGATTCTCATCATTGTAATGTATTTTCCTTCTGACTTTTAATTTTCTTATAAACTTCTTATTTTAAAAATAACATAATTACCTCACTATATCTCTTCTTGTTCTTTGCTCTAAACCTTCTCCTGGACCCACTTTATACTTACTCTTTGTCAAATTCATGGCCTCTTTTTCATAAAATGGTGTGTGTGTGTGTGTGTGTGTGTGTGTGTGTGTGTGTAATCATAAATACAGCCTTCTCAGTCCATATGATGTTATTTGTGTATGTTGTCACACAGTTATCCACAATCCTAAACAGGCAGCCATGTTTTCATTTATAAGACTTGCTTTTTCTGCTATTGTTGACATGGAAAATGACAACTATAAGTGTTGTAAATGCAGTTCCATTTCTTGTGCAGTCAAGAAACAACCACACATGTACTTTTCCTGGAGTTATTATCAGGCAAGAATTATTATGTTTGTTTATTACAGAAAGTAAAATAGAACTTGGACAACTGGAGATCTCATATATAATAGGGAACCTATACCATGGAGATGGCCATTCAATACTACAAAAGGCAGTTTTATTTAGTAGTTTGCATATGACACAATAGCATGAGAATTGCCACTCAAATCTTCACACATTATGTGGCATCAGCATGGTTTACTAATGGATTCAGGGTCCCAGGGAAAGAGATATATAGAACAACACTGCATTATGACACCACAGTCACTTCTTAACTTTCCCCTTCTACATTCCCAGTATGAGGAAAGGTATTATTTTTCTACCTGTCTGGTTGGAAATGTGCTGCTCTGGACAAAATAAACAAGAAAAACAGAAGACAGGCTTTTCTTCTTGTAAAACTTTCCAGAATCCTGGACCACAGCTCTGTACACAAACGGATTGAGGTGTCTGAGAAAAACACAGAAAGACTGGTCATAATATTGCGCATTAGTTTAAAATATCTTAGGCTAAATAACTTAAATGCACATATCCTATGTAAACTGTATATATTTATGAGGAACTCTGAGGTGTTGATATGGGAGTATAGAATGGTGATTTGTAGTTAGCACACTTCCCAATATTAAGTATTCAGCAACCATTTATGGTGACCAAACTTTGACTCACTTGTGCCTAGCCTTTGTGAAATGTGGAGCACATCCACATATTCTCTCTTGTGATGCAGCAAGTCTGAACTCACTTATTGTAGGAATTATGGAACAATTAGATTGTCAGACATTGGAAAGACATCTTGAAAATTCCACTAAAACTCAAAATATTACTATGTACCTAAAAAGCCTTAGAATAGACTTAATTACTCAGTCACTCTTGCCTCTTGCCTGTTTCTGCATTTACATGTCCAGTCACATAGTAACAGCCCTGTACTCTGATTCAGCTGCAAAATGAAGTTCAATTTTCTCAAGAAAGATAGTTTGGCCATTGGTGAATTATGGTGACTTTTACCCTTGACTCCCAAAGCTAGGAATTGTTCTATAACCTTTCTTTTCAAATGTTAGTGATGTCATCATATAGGATTTTCACCAATTCAATTCTTAGGTAATCACATTAACTACTAAAATTCTAACAACTTCAGTTTGTTTTATTTATGTATTTAGTTTGTTATATGTATATAACATATATTTTGTTATGTGTATAGGACAGGAATTATTTCTATATTTTCTTAGACCTCTTTTCTACCTTGATTTGAATCCAGTATTTGTCTCATAAATATGTACATATTTACAGGAATATGCTTCTGAATAACTGGTTCAGCAGTTAAGGGTGCATACTATTCTTTCACAGAAATATGGATTCAGTTCCTGACACACATATTGGGCAGCTCATATACATTGGTTACAGAAATTTCTCGTATCAAAATCAATAATTAATTTCTTGTTTATGCTACCTCACCTTGTAAAACTATCGATATGCTTAAATAGGAGTTGTATAAATAAAAGAATGCATTGAACCTCAGCTTGCCTATATAATTAACATATGTGAATATATGCATAAGTCTGTGTCCATGTATGTGTTTACACATATTAACACAGACATTCATGCCTATATATCCATGAACATTCATTCATTCATTGAATCATCAATGAACACAAGCATCCAAGTTCAATTCATCTAATTCTAGCTAAGGAATTACCTGATATTATGTGTGCATTTGTATGTGTATTTATTTTTGTATGTACACATACATATGTATAATTCTGAAATATTGATTTATTTCAGATTTAAAGTCATCCTACAAAAATAAAGAGATGACTTATTGCCACATAAGCATGAAAACTTAAATTTGATCATGATGAAAGGATGAAAGAAAAGTTGGGTGCAGAAAAATGGGCCTTTAATCCAAACTTTATGATCATGAAGACAGAAAGAATCCATAGGTTATGCTGTCCTCTGAGTACAGTAAAATCAAAAAGTAAAGGTTTCAGAGAGATATCCTATTTAAAAATAAAGTGGACAGCAACTGAGGAAGATAACCACAGTTGACTGTGGCTTTAACAAGCACAGGTACACCCAAACACAAGCTCATGAACACCAAAACACAAGCTCACAGTCACAATAGATCTAAGAACTTAACATTTTCAATAAACATTACACAATCAAGTTTATAATTCTTTACAAATAATTCCCTTCATATTAAATGCTGAAAAATTTCCAGACCTGTTTGAAGTTTCTTGGCCATTGAATCAGAACTTCATTGATGAAAAAGCCTTGGTCTTGTGGACTCTTGAAGACAAAATCCCCCACTTTAAGTAGTGATGATTTTTGCTTACTATATGCAATAAAGTTTTGTATATCATACATTTCCAGAATATTCTTGTTCTCATCAAAGCTTATTTCATCTCCAGCAGCATTTGTAACTTTAATTTTCCTCAGAAATGGATGCAGCTGAAGAGAAACATCATTTGATATGAGTGGCCCACAAATTAACCACATTACTGGTTATTGATCTTTATGAGAAATTCATTTTCCCTCACTCTAACATTTTTGAAGAGCTTAGTTGGGTTAGGTGCCTCCCCAGTTGTTCAGTTAGATTAAAATTATTTCTCATAAAAGTAGAACACAAGCAACTGAACACAAGTAGAAATAGTGCAGTGTGAAGCATATCCTTAGTTGAAAAAATGTCCTGTGACTTTCTCCAGCATCAGAAAAATATATCTATTTAGAATATTTCCATACAGATTTTGAATAGGATCCAAAATGGCAGTTCCCAGTGCACATGGTTACTGAGTGCCAGGACTGTTGTGACTACACAGCAAGTGACAGACCTTTCTGTGGACTCTAAAATGCAAATGTCTATGCTTAACAACTTTACAGAATATTGTAGAAAGAAAATACCAACAAAAGGAAGTACAGAACAACCAAGGAAACACAGAAAATTAGTAACACTGCTGCTGCAAAACCAAAATAAGAGAAACACACAAATTCAATACAAGCATAAAAAAATAGGCACTAGCAATTATTGGTCGTTAATATCTCTCAACATCAACGGACTTAATTCTTCAATAAAGAGACAAAGGTTAACAGAATGGATGCATAAACAGGGCTCATCATTCTACTGCATACAAGAAACAAATATTAACAACAAAGATAGATATGCCTCAGAGTGAAGGGCTAGAAAAAGTTTTTCTTTCAAGAAAACGGACCCCAAGAAGCAAGCTGAAGTAACCATCCTAATAAAAATATCTAATAAAAACAATATCTAATAAAAACAATTTTAACTAAAATAATCTAAACAGATGGGAAAGGACACTTCGTTCACATCATAGCAAAATACACCAAGATGATGTCTCAGTTCTAAACATCTAAGCCCCAAATACAAGAGAATATTTGTAAAAGAAACATTACTAAAGCTTATCACACATTGATCAACACATAATAATAATAATAATAATAATAATAATAATAATAATAATAATAATAATAATGGACAACTTCAACACCTCACTCTCACCAAAGGACAGGTCATGGAGACAAAAACTAAAGAGAGAAACAATTAAACTAACAGATACACAAATCAAACGAACCTAACAGCTATCTACAGAATTTTCACCCAGACAAAAAGGAATATACCTTCTTCTCAGCACCTCACAGAAGCTTCTTCAAAATTACCCATTTATTTGGTCAGAAAGCAAACCTCAACAGATAAAAGAAAATTGAAATAACCTCTTGTATTTTATCAGACTGCCATGGATTAGAGCTAAGTTTCAATAATAATGGAATCAAGAGAAAATGAACAAAACTCATGGAAACCGAACAACTCAGTGACCATTGAGTCAGGGAAGAAATAAAAAATTTATAGAAATCAGAGGAAATGAGGGGACAACATACCTAAACTTCTGGGACACAATGAATGCAGTGCTAAGGAAAAAGTTCATAGCATCAAGCTCCTTCCTAAAAAAAAAAATTAAGAATTCTCATACAGCACTTCAAAAACACACGTAAAAGCTCTAGAACAGACAGAAGAAAACAGACCTAAGAGTAGTAGACAGCAGGAAATAATCAAATTTATGGCTGAAATCAGTAACATAGGAATAAAAGGGAACATTACAAAGAATCAGTGAAACCAAGAGATTTTTTTTAGAAAATCAACAAGATAGACAAACCTCTAGAGAAACTGAAACAAAGTCAGAGAGACAGTATCCAAACACACAAAGTTACAATGAAAGGAGGGACATAATAATAGACCCTAGTAAATCTAAAGAATCATTAGGTCTTAGTTCAAAAGTCTGTATTACACAAAATTGGACAACCTAAAGTAAATGGAAAATTTTCCTGATAGTCATGTAAGCAGGTTAAACTGTCCTATAACCTGTAAGAAAATAGAAGCAGTCATCAGAAGTCTTCCAACCAAAACAAACAAGCAAACAAAAAACAAAAAAAAAACCCAGAGACAAATGTTTCTATCATTGAATTCCACCTGACTTTCAAAGAGGAGTTCATGCCAACACTTCTGAAACTATTCCACAAAACAGAAACAGAAGGAACACTGTCAAACTCTCTATGAAGCCACAGTCACACTAGTACCTAAAACACACAAAGACCCAACAAAGAAAGAAAATTTCAGGCCCATTTACCTAATGGACTTTGATGCAAAGCTACTCAATAAGATCCTGGCAAACCCAATCCAAGAACACATCAAATATATCATCTACTGAGATCAATTAGGCTTCATCCCAGGGATGCAGGAATGGTTCAACATATTTAAATCAATTACTGTAATTCACTGAAAGAAAAAATAAAAATTTCCATCTCATTAGATGCAAAAAAAGCCTTTGATAAAGTACAGAACCACTTCATGATAAATGTGTTGGAAAGATCAGAGATACAAGGCCCATATATAAACATAATAAAGGTAATATACATCAAGCTAATAGCCAAAATCAAGTTAAATAAGGGGAAACTCAAAACAATTACACTAAAGTCAGGGACAAGAAAAGGCTGCCCATTCTTCCATATATCTTCAGTGTAGTACTTGAAGTTTGAGATAGAGCAATAAGACAACTGAACATGATCAAGGAGATTCAAAATGAAAAGGAAGAAACCACAATATCCTTATTCGCAGATGATATGCTAGTATATATAAGTGACCTCCAAAATTCTACCAGAAAATTTCTATAGCTGATAAACCCCTGAAGAAAAGTGACTGCTTTAAATTTAACTCAAAAAAAAAAAAAAATCAGCAGTCCTCTTGAATACAAATGATAAATGGGCTGATAATGAAATTAGAGAAACAACATCCTTCATGATAGCCAGAAATAACATAATATATCTTGGTGTAAGTCTACCTAAGCAAGAGAAAGACACCTATGACAAGAACTTCAAATCTCTGAAAAAAGAAGCTGAACAAGATATCAGAAGATGGAAAGATCTCCTATGCTCATGGCTCAGCAGGATTAACATAGGAAAAATGGTGGTATTACCAAAAGCAATCTATAGCTTCTTCTATCAAAATGCCAACACAATTCTTCACAGACCTTGAAAAAACATTTTTCAATTTCATATGGAACACCAAAATAACCCCAAATTGCTAAAACATTTATTTACAATAAAAGAACTTCTGGAGGTATCTCCATGTCTGAGTTCAAGTTGTACTTCAGAGTAATCAAAATAAAAACTGCATGGTACTAGCATAGGCACAGACTGTTTGATCAATGGAATTTAGTTGAAGACCCAGAAATAAACTCAGGTACATGTGGACCTTGATTTTTTTTATAAAGAAACGAAAACCATCCAATGGAAAAAGGAAGAAAGGATTTTTAGCAAATATTTCTGATCCAATTCAATGTCTACATGTAGAAAAATACCAATAGACCCATATTTATCAACCTGCACAAAACTCAATTCAAAGGGGGTCTAGGACCTTAACATAAAACCAGAGATACTAAATCTATTAGAGGAGAAAGTACAGAATATCCTTGATCCCAAGGGACAGGAGACAATTTGCTGAACAGAACACCAACAATCGAGACAATAAGATCTACAATTAATACATGGAATTTCATGATTCTGTAAAGTTTCTGTAAAACAAAGGACCTTGTCAACACAACAAATGATGGCAGAGAGATTGAGAAAAGATCTTCACCAACCCTATGTCAGACAAAGGGCTGATTTCCAAAATATATAAAGAATTCAACAGATTAAACTCCAGCAAATGAAATAGTCCAATTTAATAAATGCTGTATGGAACTAAGTAGAAGTCTCAACTAAGCAGAGAACTAAGCAAAGAAATCTCAATTGGCAGAGAGGCACTTAAGGAAATGCACAATGTCAGTAGTCTTCAGGAAAACTCAAATCAAAATGACTCTGAGATTCCAACTTAACACCTATCAGAATGGCTAAAATAAAAAAAATATGTGACAACACATGCTGGCAAGGATGTGGAGAAAAAGTAACCCTCCTCCATTTTTCATGGGAGTACAAACTTGGACCACCATTTTGGAAATCAATCCTGTTGCTTTCTCAGAAAATGGGAACAATTCTACCTCAAGAACCATATAACACTCCTGGACATATAAAAAAAAAAAAAAAGAAAGATGCTTCAGGGGGCGGAGCCAAGATGGCGACTAGCACACACAGTTTCCAAGCTGTGGAAGAGAAAAAGTTCTGAGTTGATGAGTGGAAGAACTTCTGAAGCCAGGGAAACAACGGAGAGACTTTCTAAACAACAGGGAACATCGCCGGAGGTGAAAACCTTGGTCTCGGGTCACCCAGGGACTTGTTTGGGGAAGGTGAGAAACGATCCTTTGATCTCTCGGCACTCCCCTCCCCCAGACCTCCCTCCTCCTCGGCACAGCGGACTAGCCTTTCTCAGCGCAGACCTAACTGCCTGGGGCCTGCAGCCACTGAGGCTGAGCCCCAAGTCCTTTATCGGCAAAGGCCAGCAGTACTGTGTCTCGGAGCCCCAGATTCACGAGCGGCAGCTGCACCATCCTCCCAGGGCCCGAGTCTGCTAGACGCCATACTAGCTCCGCAAAATCGCGATCACTGACGGTACGGCCCGCCCAATACCACAGTGACAGAGAATACGCTATATACTCACCAAAACCAGACAGAAACGCCATACAAGCTAGACACACCAGGCGCTGGGCCTCCGAAGCTTGGAGAGCACAGTAAAGAGACCCCAGGACTTCCCAGAAAGCATCTGGACTAGCAACCCAGTCTCCAGTTACAGCGGGACTTTCTAACCTGGCGGCGGAGCAGCACTGAGCTGGCGGGGCACATCAGCCCTCCAGTTTAAGACTAACCAGGGCCAAACCAGAGAACAGAAAGGCTGGTTACCCCGATTCCCACTGACGTGACCACCCTGAAATCTCCAGCTGCAGCAAGACCTCATAACCTGGCAGTGACAGCAGCACGGAACTGGCGGAGCACATCAAAGAAGCAGGGCCAAACCAGAGAGCAGACAGCCCAGATACGCCGATCTCTGCCAAGTGTCCTGCCTGTAAGTGAGTGCACCCTTGAGAATCTGCAGCTCCACTGATCCTG